CATCCTCAAACAAGTATGTCCTCAATTGTTGAAGTTTAAGGGCAAAAGAATCACCCGTCTCTAGGTTGAGAGTGGCCTTCGAACCAGCAGAGGTGGCATCCACAATCGACTTACGAAGGTTAAGCAAGGCCTTCAAAGTCTCTGTTGGGTTTGATGGCTTCATAGCCAAGATCTCCTCTGGAGTAAGCATCCTTTCGACAGAAGGGCCACCTTCAGCGGAACCTGTGGGAGTTGGAGTACCCTCAACAACAGTTAGGATAACCACAGGGTTTTCTTTGCCACTGATAGCTTCACCATCCTTGTTAGCCTCATTATTGGTATTGTCAACAGGGGGTGTTTTCGCTGCAGGGTCTTCTTCTATCGACGCCCCTTGGAATTTGTCGAATTTCTGAGGACTAAAAAGAGGCACCATCTTAGGGGGATTGCCAGCAGTAGTCGTGGCATTATCAACATTTACAGCAACCGTCGAGTCGACCACGATGTCTTGCAGAAGGTAGCTTAAGTAAGAGAACACCCAAGTAATATATAGACCAGAAGAATAAAAACAAAAAATACCTCAGCAGTGTGTTATGGTGGAGGGATTTCAGCGGCGACAGATTGAAAAATTTCAGCTAGATTATCAGGAACAAATGGTTTTATGGCCGAGGTAACCGTTTTGAAGGGGGCCTTCTTGGTAGGAACTCTTTTCTTCTTGGCTATTGGGGTAACAGAAGGAGAGTGGGATGTTTTAGAAGGAAAGACCCGGGATTGGGTACTTTCGTCTGACGCGCCATCTTTTGGAGTCAACGCATTTTCAAGAACCTACCAAACAACAAGGTAAGTTGATAGGAAAAGGCAGGTGCAAAGAATCACCAAAAACGTGTGGTACCTGAGGACTCTGGACTTTCTATTTCTTTGCTAGCCTGGTCGAGGTCGACACAACAGCTGGTTCCCTTTTTCGACCCTGGGGATAAACAAAAATGATTAGATATTGGCAACAAATAAAATACAAAAGAAAAGCAAAGAATGTACCTTCTTAGAGGTGTCCTCTGTGGCACCAGCTCCTTGGGGATTCTCGACAACTACAACAATCATCGAAGTAGAGACTTCATCAGCAAGGAAAGTAAAGGCATTGACCATATTCTCCAAGAACAGGTCACATTTAAAGCATTTGTGTTGGTACTCTACCCACCATACATTAAAACCCTCTGTTGTGAAAAAGGATGGTTGAAAAGAAAACACAGGTAACTAGAGGCACTGTGTCGACCTAGCAAGCTTGAGGCAGTTCTTGTGGCCGGTCAGGTTTAATCGTCGACCAACCCACATGATGTCAGAGGAATGTCGTACCAGGGATTTTGGCAGCAGTTGGCTCAAGCCAAATTGTCGGGCCACTAAATTAGACTGGTAGTTCATGAACCCATAGCCTGTGTTCCCCATCTGAATTCGAAACGACAATATGGTGGGAGTCAGAAACGCCCTCCATATGGAATTCGACATTACTGCCATTTTTGGGGAAGCACCAGGAAAGGGGTTACTAAACCATGATAGACCAAATCGTCGATGCACAAAAGGAGCCATGCCAGGAACGAAGGTGGTTGCTTCTTCAAACATGGTGAGGTATTTCATAAAAAGAGTTTTGTTGGGAGTTTCCTGCGTAGTCATCAAGGTGAATCGAACGCCTTCTATGAGACGATCATCACTCAGACGCTGCATTGTTGCAGACAATGGATAGCCCAGTTGATGCTCGAATGCAACAACCATATAGGCCCTGAAACGTTAAAGGCCGTGGTGGTATCATAAAGGAGTTTTATTCTCAAGGCCGACAGACCAAGAGAATGATAGAGAAAGGATAGTAAAAGCTTACCCAAAGATACCTGTCGAAGGTGGCGTCCATCTCCAGGGTCAGATCAAAGGTTTCACCCAGAGGAGAAAGACCCGTGATGGCCGCCACGTCGAAGAGCGTCGGCGTCAACATGCCACAGGGGAAATGAAACCTGTTGGTCGACCCTTCAGAGAAAAACATCAACATCAACAGTAAACAAGGGTTGACTCTATGAGCATTCCTAGAGAGATGAATGGCATCAAAGATGCCAATTGTCTTCCATTTGGCCTGGAATTTTCCCTAGACCTTGTTCAACCAGAAGATGTAATCTTTATTGCCTGGGGTAGGCATCGACCTGAAAACATGGGCCTTTGGTGCCATAAAATTTAGGTCGAGGGTACCACCTTTCTAGAAAGAAGGGGAAATGGTGAGAAGAAAGCAAGGGAAAAATGCCTGAAGTTTCTCATGGCTGGGTTTGTTAGCAGGGTAGGGCCTATGGAAAGCATGCAACTTTCCAGCAACCGCAAAAGGGATGATCATCTGACATTCCCAGGTAGCTACCACTGTGTCATCAGCAGATGTCGCATTGGGAAGGGGCCTAAGGGCGTCAGCTTTAGAGAGAACAAACGCAATAGGGTTGTTTCCGGTAGTGTGAGTGGTGGAAATGGTTGAGGAATCCATTGAAAGGGAAGGTCAAAGAAATTTTGAGGGCAAGAGTTTGCAGAAAAGAAGAAGCGTCAAAGAAGTTGGAAAAAGAAAACCAAATATGGAAATAGGCTATTTATAGGAAAGATGACATGCAGTTGAAAAGACAAGGGGCGGTTCCAATTCCAGAGTAAGTGGGAGTAGTTTAAAACCCATAACGTTAGGATGCGACCAAACATGATTAGCTTTCTTGGAAAATGTGGCGCAAAAAGACGCCATTATCACGTCAGACTGTGGATGACACGTAACTGACTCGACAGAAAAACAATGATGGTGTTGCTGGGTCATTACCAAGACGCATTCGAAACCTTATAGAACCAAAACGCCAAGTTCCTTAGTCGACAAAGTGCTCAGTCAAAATTGGGTTTTGAGGGGGCATCTTGTTGGCTTGTGGGTCGACAGGCTAAGAAAGGTGGTAAAGGAAATGATGTGAGTCGACACTAGCAGTGGGAGTTTTGTGAGTCGACTCAGGCCTATTCCATCGAAGATGTCGACAAATTGGCAAGGAAGCCGACACAAAGTAGAAGAACGTTTGAGCAGGAAGAAAATTTGAAAAGCTGAGAACGTGAAGTTACATAAGTGGTGGAAGGACACGTGCCACCACCAAGATCAACATAGCAGTTATTTTATTTTCCTATTTAAGGCAATGCCCATGTTCATTTTGGGGGACACATTTTGTAACATTGTAAGAAAAAAAAACTCTGAGTACCAAGCGTTAAGAGAAAAGAGTTTCATTCTTGCAAAATGTATGATCGCCTTCACATTTCCTTTTAATAGCAATTTATGTTACCAACTTTAAAGATTTATTGTCTTTTGTTTTTGTCTTTTCTTGTTTATTCATATGTCTTTATTTAAGTCTACACAGTCTTTCTCAAATTTATCTTCAACCTATTCTAAACAACATCATTCCACCACCATCTCATATACTCGATCGGTTCGTCCTGGAGCTTGTTTGGGCGGTCTCGCAAGTAAACTTGCGTTAGAAGGTCAGAGGTTGTTCGGGCAAAAACTACGTGCGAACAGTTAGATAAATGTGTATTAAACACATATTATTGCATGAGTGAAACTTTTTTGAACAACACACATTTGTGACACTTATAAATATTCAAGTCTTCACATTTTTAGTCAATATGAGACTATAACTCATATTACTTACAATTGTTATATTTAACACTCCATCTCAAGCACCGTTGTTGACACTCTTCAACGAAACACTCAACCCATCGCCTATGACGATACTTTTGATACAAATGAGTTAGACCTACTCGAAGAAAGCTTTTTACTATAAAGCATTGAGCATTATAAGACTTTCTTTCTTGAAGCAACACATTTGCAAGAGACACACCACATACACCCAAAATCTTAAGGTGATAAGTGTATGAGTTCTCCCACTTATAAACGCTCAAGTCTTTACATTTCTAGCCAACGTGGGACTATTACTCATACTACTCACACTTGTTATACTTAATACTTCCTTTCAAGTGTTAATCTATCTACAATGCTTTCCCTTAAACGAAAATTTCATCCACATATACTTGTACCGTCGTTGACACTCTTCAGCGAGACACTCAACCAACTATATGTAGGGATACTTTCGATATAAGTAAGTCAGTTCATCACTTGAATCAAAGGCTCACAATATCATTGTTGAGATATTTTTAATACAAGTGAGTTGATCCTTCGCTCGAACTAAAGACTCATGATATTACTGTTAAGAATATTTTTTTCACTAAAAAACATTGAACATTGTGAGACTTCTTTTTCTAAAAGAAGATCTTTGTGCGAGACACACCACATATCTCCTTAAAACTTCAATAGTCATATAGATGTTTCTTTATGACTCTATATTTTTAACTAATATAAAATTATTAGACATACATCTCACATTTATTATAATTAACCGTTTAAAAACTAAAACAAAAAATATATATAATAATTAATTATACTATTGGTTTTCTAGTTCATTCTTGCCCCTCATTAACCTAATATTACACAAAAGTTTATTATTTTACTCATCCATATGGGTCCCTTTTGTGGCATATGCCCAAGTGATACCCTCACTAAACAAAACTCATTGTCCTATAGCATCATTAATCAATTCTCTCTTTTTTCTTCTACAAGGTTCATTTCCATTATGATTAATCAAGGTCAATTCAAATAAAAAGGAGAATCGCATTAACTATGGTAAAAAAAAAAAAAAAAAAGAAAAAAAAAAGTTGAATGATACAACCAACCAGACCCGAAATTATAACATTGATTCAGTGGTGGGACCCGCTGCAAAGAACCTACTAGGCCATACATGTACAAAATAATTTAACCATTCATCATCACCAACCGTACAACCAAACATCAACGGCCACCATTTTTCAACACAAAAGAAACAACCCTCCAAATAGTGGTAAATTAAAAAAAGTACACAAGAAAATAAAAACATGCACAGAAGAGAATTCAATAATACACGATTTCAAATTTCAGTTCCATTTCCATTTCCCATCTAGTAGTCAGTTGTTGGAAGCTGCTCATGGGTGCTGTTAATGAAAAGAACCTCATAGATAAGCCCAGCAATCCCACCACCGATAAGTGGGCCGGCCCAGTAGACCCAGTGGTTGGCCCAGCTCCAGCTCACCACAGCAGGCCCGAATGCCACGGCGGGGTTCATGGAGGCTCCGGTGAAGGCCCCACCAACCAAAATGTTAGCACCAACGATGAAACCAATAGCAATTGGTGCGATAATTCCAATATTACCCTTCTTTGGGTCAACGGCTGTAGCATACACAGTGTACACCAAACCGAAAGTCATCACAATCTCAAATACCAAAGCGGGACCCACTCCTACTCCTGCGGTTAGACCGAATGCTGGCACAGACTGCGATGCACAGTAACAAAGCTCTCGTTAATTAAATCCAAAGTGTATTATTAATAAAAATTAAATATAACAAATAAATTAATTTTGTAACTGTATTTTGAAGAAATAACTAACTTTCATAACTAACTTTCATATCTAGTTATAGAAAATATCAGTCATACCGATGCGGTGACAAAGACGAGGAGTGCGGAGGCGACGATGGATCCGAGGAGTTGAGCGATGATGTAAACGATACCACGGAGTAAGGTGATGTTGCCACCGACGAAAGCACCGAAGGTGACGGCGGGGTTTACGTGTCCACCGGAGATGTTAGCACCGACGGAGACAGCAACAAAGAGAGCGAATGCGTGTGCTATGGAAGCAGACATGAGACCGGCGGGAGTGGCGGCACCGTTGTCGGTAAGCTTGTTGTATGCGATGCCGGAACCTGAACCGGCGAAGACGAAGATGAAAGTGGAGATGAACTCAGCCAAACCGGCTTTCAAGGTGTCTGGGTGAGTTGCCTCTTGAGGAGTTCCGACGGCTATGTTTCTGATCGGCATGGTTAGGATTGCTTTTTATCACCGATGAAGAATCGGAATAAACACTCTCACTCTTTTTAGTTACTGAAAGCGCTTTCTTGTTTTCGCTTCTGATTGCTTTCGCTACTGCTTGCTTGTGTGTTATTATATGGAGAACGACCGGCCTTCAGTTTCACGGGTTCAACCGGTTACCGGTAGAAAAATATTTCAATATTACAAATTTATTTATAATAATACCTCCAAAATTGGGAGGAATCTTGAATTTATAAAACACAAAGCCAAAAAAGAAACAATACTAATTTGCTGACAGGCTGTATGACACGTTCATTGTTTCATATTTTATAAAATAGGCTATTTTATAAATAAAATTTATGTTTTTTATTTTTACCAAAATTTAGTTTATTTACTCTAATAAATAAAATTAAGAAAGTAAAAGAATAATTAGCCGGTCAAGATAAAATTTAGTGAACAATTGAACATTGACTGCATTTATTTGCAACTCCGTCCAGAGAACAATATATTTATTTAATATTTGTTATTATCAAACAAAATTGTTAAATTAAATAATTTTCATTTTTTACTTCAATTATTATTTTTATACGTATCCTTATCACAAGTCGTTGGCTTTTGCTCTCAAATACAGCGAAGCAACCATTCTTGTACTGACACGTGTCAGATAGGATAAGAGCCACGTCATCTCGCTAATTAGTGGTAAAAATGTTCTGGTTTTATTGTGTGTAGATTGTTCGAAGAGCAATGGCACCTACTACACATTTCATTTACTTTTCATGATGTGCATGATCATAATGATTATCTTGTAAACATAAAATTAAATATTTAAGATGTTAATTATTTGTTTTTAGTGGCGTAAAACAACAAATTAATAATTTAGTACAACTCTAATACATGATTAAACATAGTATAATCAATGTGATAAGAACTAAAAAGATAAAATTATTGGAAAAACATAAAAATATAAAATAAGGTACGAAGACATGTAGCTTTTTATATAGTATGACATATTTTGTAGGGTAAGGTTACTTTTATATAGAAAAAAAGTGCCTTTCGGTAATTGAATTTTATTTCCCTCCATCTACATGTTCTTAGATTGGATTAGGTAATAGCTAAGTTGGTCCACTCAATTATTTGTACACAGTGGTTTACAATTCAAACAGGTGGCCCTTGAATCACGTAAATGGTAAATATTCTGTTTCGAGGATCTTTATGTTTCGAAATTTTTTAGTTCTCCATGTTGTATACTTCTTTTGTTAAGAAATATATGTTATTCTTTTTAAATGAAAAATTCACATATTAAAAACAAGTATTGATTGAAAGTTTCCTTACCTGGCATCATGGCTACTTTAATAATTCAATTTTGTTTAGGTTTTTTAAGCTTACGTATTTCCTTCAACGAGAAGTTCAAAGGAATGTGGTGTACTATGTGTTGTTCTATTCTGTCGACATAAAAATGTGCATCGTAGTAGAGGTAAGTAAGAGTTACATTTTTCTCAACGGAAAAAAAGAGTTACAGTGTACTCATAAATAATTACTAGTTAACTTAATTGTAATATTCAATTGTGTGTGTGTTTTGGATTAAAAATATCAGTCACATGATTTGCCAACTCAGTCCTGATCAACGATTGCTAATGATTGCATTATCACCTATTTAAATATGTTGTCACCAAAATATTGTATAAACCAAGTATCATTCGTTGCAAAGGATATGCATTGTATTATTCATTGTATCGATCGAGTTTTTTAAATAGTCGAAAAATTATGGTTTTTTATAAGAATGTATATCTTCAACTTGAAAAGGATATGTTCCAGATCAGAATCAAATTTATTTTTAAGTGTGATGTTTGACATCTTACGTGGTGTTGCGAATCTTTGGTACCGTGGTATTTAGATCAAACTCTAGTGTTGACAATGGTAGTTTTATAGTTTGCCAGGAGTTTTGCATGTTGTAATCAAAGTCTGTTTAAGTATGTTGTCGAAATATGTTAGTTTTGTGTTTAATTTAGCATGTCGAATTGAGTCTTGGTTGTAAGCTTAATTGTTAAGTTAACTTAGTAATATATAAATAGACTAGTTCTCTCAGGTTGTTGAGAGATGTTAATTGTTGATATTCACTTGTAATCTTTAAACCTTTATTGAGAAAGTGAATAGTAAAACATTTTAAACCAATTCTTATTCTTCTTCTTCCTTCTTCTCTCTTTCGTAAAACCTAATAGGGTTTCTTGTGTTTGTTAAAGAAACTCAATCTTTATCTCATATTTTGGTTTGGTATTGACAACATCAATTCACAACAGATTGGGGCGGCGAGCATGGAGAAGAAGAAGTCGTCAACAAAGTATGAGATTGAGAAATTCACTGGTGTGAATGATTTCGATTAGTGGCGTTTGAAGATGCAAGCTCTTCTTGTTCAACAGGGTTTCTTAGAAGTATTGAAAGGATCGGAGAAGATGGATGATTCCCTATCGGAGAAAGAGAAGACAACGATGGTCGAAAAAGCCTATAATGCCATTGTATTAAGCCTTGGTGATAAGGTTTTTCGACAGGTTTCAAAGGAGAAAACTACAGCGGGTGTGTAGACAAAACTTGAAGGTTTGTACATGAAAAAATCGTTGGTTAATCATTTCTACCTGAAGCAAGCTTTATATTCATTCAAGATGAGCGAAGACATAGCCCTGACTTAGCAGCTGGATATGTTCAACAAGTTGATTCTTGATCTTAATAATATCGAGACCAAGATTGATGATGAAGATCAAGCGTTGTTGTTGTTGTGCTCTTTACCTAAGTCTCATGCTCACTTCAAAGAAACACTTTTGTATGGAAGATAGTCGTTGAACTTTGAAGATGTCCAATCTGCCTTGTACTCTAAGGATTTGAACAAACGAAAGGAGCACAAGTCATCTTCTGTTGGTGAAGGTTTATCCGTTAAGGGAAATTCTTTAGGAATAATGGTAGATTTGAGAAGAAGAAGGGTAAAATTCTACAAAATTCTTATGGTGGTTATGCACTTACTGTTAAGTGTTATCATTGTAAGAAGAAGGGTCATACAAGAAAAGTATGCCCTAATCATCTGATCAAACATGGTGGAAAGGATAATGGTAAACCAGTAATTGTGCAAGATGGTTATGAATCATCTGATGTCCTGGTGGTTTCAAGCAACGACTCTAGCAATGAGTGGATTATGGATTCGGGGTGTACTTCGCACATGACTCCAAACAAAGACGTATTTGAGGAATTATGTGATCAAGATGGTAGATCAGTCCTACTAGGAAACAACAAAGCTTGCAAAATTGCAGATATGGGTCTGTGAGATTCAAGCTCCATGATGAGTCAATAAGACTATTGACTGATGTTAGGTATGTACCTGATCTTAAGAGGAATTTGATTTCTCTTGGTGAATTCAACAAGAAAGGATATGTTTTCAAAGGACAGCAAAACATCCTAAGGGTAATGAAGAGGTCGAAGGAAGTCTTGAGACGCGTGAAAAAACAAGGTTTGTATACCCTTGAGGTTGAGATTATTAGTGGTTCATCATATATGGCATCCACAAAACCTGTGTCGAAGGCTAAACTATGACACAAGAGACTTGCCCATGTCAGTGAAAGAAACAAAATTTGTTTTGTGGTGCCAAGATCGAAAAATTGGAGTTTTGTGAACCTTGTGTATTTGTAAATCCTGTAAAATGAATTTTAATAAAGATAAACAAAGAACACATGGATCCCTTAATTACATTCATGGTGATCTTTAGGGGCCTGGAAGGAATCCTTCAAACTCAGGTGCAAAGTATTCTCTATCCATAGTCGTTGATTATTCCATAAAGTTATAGGTATTCATCCAGAAGACTAAGGATGAAAATTATAAAAATTTCAAAAGTTGGAAGACTCTGGTCGAAAACTAAACTGACAGGAAGGTCAAGAGGTTGAGGACCGAAAATGGTCTTGAATTTCGCTATGAGGCTTTTGGCAGCTATTGTTCTGCGTATGGTATTCCAAGGCATAGAACTACTGTATGAACTCCCCAACAAAATGGTTTAACTGAAAGGTTTAATCTAACCATTCTGGAAAGGGTGATATGCATGTTAGTAAGTGTAGGATTGAAGAAGGTGTTTTGGGCAAAAGCTGATGTGAGTGCGGCATACTTGATAAATTAGTGTCCCTCGACAGCCTTAGGAATGAAGACACCTGAAGAAGTATGGTCGGGACATCCACCTTGTCTTGACATACTTAAGGTATTTGGTTGTTTATCCGATGCTCATATTAGGCAAGACAAGGTTAAACGTAGAGCTCTGAGATGTATGTTCCTTGAATACCTAGAAGGAGTCAAAGCTTATAGGCTATGGTGCCTAGAGCTAGGTCACATGAGGTGTATCACAAGCACCTCCATGTTCTAGCACACAAGCCCTCAACAAATCTTCCAACGTCTTGATGGTCCTCTCTGTTTGACCATTTATCTGCAGATGATAAGAAGAACTCAACCTCAGCTTAGTACCCAAAGTTATCTGCAACCTCTCCCAGAACCTCGATGTGAATCTCGTATCTCTATTAGACACAATACTTGAAGGAGTACCATGTAGTTTCAAAATCTCATCAATATGCAATTCTACAAGCTTCTGCAAAGAATAATTAATCCTCATCGGTAAAAAATAAGCCTATTTGTTCAATTTATCAAGAATCACCCAAATTGAATCGCATTCCTTCGAATTCCTCGGTAAACCTGTTAGAAATCCACGAAAATACTATCCCATTTCCATTCAGGAATATTTAACTGTTGCATCAGACCTAATGGTTTTTGATGTTCAATCTTTAACTTCTGGCAAGTCAAACAAGCATATACAAATTCAAAAATCTCTTTCATCATCCCTAGCCACCAAAACATTTTTTAAGTCTCGATACATTTTGGTTGCACCTAGATAGATACTTAGTTTACCATGGTGTCCTTCTTCAAGAACACTCTTCTTAAGCTTGAACACATATGGAACACAAACTCTGTCTCTGAATCTCATCATACCA